GAAACTCGCGCAGGTGTGCAACTACAAAAAGCCGGTGCTGTATCACGCCGGAGACATGCCCTTCAGATGTGAGCCGTGCGGCCAGAGGTTCATTCTGTCCTCGCACCTGAAGAGACACCAGAAGTGGCACTCGCATTAGAGAGCAGAAACCAGTATATACTTTCTGAGTGAGTGAGTGAGTGAGTGTGTGTGTGTGTGTGTGTGTGTGTGTGTGTGGGGGGGGGTGGGGGGAGTATCACGCCGGAGACATGCCCTTCAGATGTGAGCCGTGCGGCCAGAGGTTCATTCTGTCCTCGCACCTGAAGAGACACCAGAAGTGGCGCTCGCATTAGAGAGCAGAAACCAGTATATACTTTCTGAACGAGAGTGAGTGTGTGTGTGTGTGTGTGTGGGGTGGTGGGGGGGCAGCAGCACATAATCAGTTCAGAGACGAAAGCATTGTTTACAGTCGAGACGGAGCGAAGTTCGTTCTCAGCTCTAGTAGATTCAGATTAATCACATCCAAAATAAACGCTTTAGTGTACATATGTGTGTGCTGCGTATATTTACTATGTATATATAAAGACAAACAAATGCATGTATACATTTTGAAATTATGTACACATATACACACACACACACATTTAATATATGCAAATTTTTCTTAAATATATATATACACATGCATGTGTGTGTCTTTATATATACATAATAAATATACGCAGCACACACACACATATGTACACTAAAGCGTTTATTTTGGATGTGATTAAAGATTTTTTTTACTGACGTGACCTGCAGATTTCACTCATTCGATAGAGAAAGTTGAAGGTCGAGCGGTAGTAAATCGTATGAATTATTATTACATTCATTGTGTGAGAGAGCATTTGTGAAGCATTATTATTACTGCATTTTTCTCCGTATGTTAATTTAGTTCATAGCTGTTGAGAAGTGATGCATGGTGAGCTGAAATATTGATTTACTGTTACGAGAATCCCTAATTAACCCTAACCCTAACGAGAGAACTTAACGTTTGGCGTTCATCACACTAACGAGTTCATCTGTAACTATTGACTCGGTAATGACTCTATATACTGTTCTCGGTCGAGCTGAGAGTCAGTCTGGGATTATTAAAGATGCCGTTTCTTTACTCTTTAATGTAAATGAATTCGAAGCAGTCTGTATTGTATAAAGTGCTGTATGAATAAATGTGACTCGTCGTGTAGTGTAGGTTATATAGTGCTGCATGTGAAATACATTTGTATATGCATTACATTCATCTGTTTGAGTCGCTTGAGTTTTTCTCCTTCAGCTGGGCTCAACATTTACTTTTCCTTCAGCCCGAGGCTTTTGGTGTGAAAGGGACAAAAATATAACTTTTTAATATTAAAAAGAAACAGGCAAGCCCTGCCCGGATTCAAAATGTAACGCAAAAGTAACAACGCATTACTTTCCATAAAATGTAACCAAGTAACGTAATTAGTTACTTTAGGGAGTGACGCAATATTGTAACTTTTCCCAACACTGGTGTTAATACATACATTTATTGGTTGCCTTCATATCAAATCAGATCTATTAAAAACTCTGATTTCTCAAAGCCAAATGATTTTGAAAGATCTGGAAAAGATCCGGATAACCTTGAAAAAGCATCAGATTTGTATCACGTTTCCGTGCGGATTTAACGTATGCGAGACCATGACAGAACAGCATGGAAATGATGAAGTATTCATGCAATTCATGAGTTTATCACTGAAGTTTATTCTTTGTCTGAACTCTTTGCTTTTGCAAAAAAAAAAAGAGAGAAAATACAACTATTCATTGTTTGTTGAATGAATGAACCGGAGCTAATATAAACTTGCATTTCATTTTAATCATGTAATAGTAAATGTTGAACTTTACATTTTTACATTACATGAGCACGCACACACAAGCCTGTCATGTTAAAGAGTGGAGTTTTTAGTTGCTGGTCAGACGAACATAAAATAATCTAATCTAAGAGTCACGCTAATGTGAAGAGCAGCTTCTCAAGCTCAAACGTATGCGATCCAGTGGCAAGAACGCATAAAGTGAGAATGCTTGCTGAAATTATTTTTTAATCTTCTGTAACACATTTGAAGGAACACAAAAGAAATAAACGCTGGCTCTCTCCAGATCCAGTGCGGTTCTTCAGGGAGCTCTTTAGATGCTAACAAGCTAAAAGTGGCTAGATAACAGAACGATTATTTATTTAACGCAGAACAATCATGGAACAGTCATCGCAACACTGTGCTGATCCGAGAAATGTCTAAGTTTCTCCAGAGAGAATCCTGTGAAGAACAAGAACAGCATTAAGTGATGAAACCAGGTTGTCCTGATCCAGAGAAACACAGCGAGTTCATGAAGGTGACCAAACAGCCTCGAACCTTGGCGAGGCCTGCAGACTGACCGGAGGATCACAGCCCAGGAACGCTCGGTTATCATGCGAGTACTGCAGCAGCGCGCTGAAACACGGGTCCTGTTATGAAGCACACGAAACACAGTTCAGAGTCTGTCAGGGGCTCCAAATCACCACCTTAGAATTATTCATGTGTGACCCTGCAGCACAAACACCGTCATAAGCAGCACAGGTATATTTGTAGCAACAGCCAACAATACATTGTATCAATTTTCTTTTATGCCAAAAATCATTAGGATATTAAGTAAAGATCATGTTCCATGAAGATACTTTGTAAATCTCCTACTGTAAATATATCAAAACTTAATGTTTGATTAGTAATATGCATTGCTAAGAACTTCATTTGAACAACTTTAAAGATGATTTTCTCAATATTTGGATTTTTTTGCACCCTCAGATTCCAGATTTTCAAATAGTTGTATCTCAGCCAAATATTGTCCTATGATAACAAACCATACATCAATGGAAAGATTATTATTCAGCTGTCAGATGATGTATACATCTCAATTTTGAAAAATTTACCTTTGTGACTGGTTTTGTGCTCATATAAGGAAATAGGAAGGAATGATTTTTGTAATGCGGGGAGTTAATTCCATTAATTCAAGTTATTTAATAGAAGTGAATATGAATTATTAAATCTTTTCCAGGTGGAAAGAAATAAAACCTTGGTCTGAAATCACTCCTGAGTTATCAAAGGTTATGTGATTGAACTGCTTGGATTGTGTTGAGTATCTACACAGACGTCCTTCGTTTGGATCGAGTGAAGAGGGCTTTAAATCTCACCTTGATTAAAACGTGTGGGTTTCCGATCACAATGAGCAGCGCTTTGGCTCGTGTGATGGCAACGTTGAAACGCTTCGGGTCGGAGAGGAATCCCAGCATGCTTTGCAGTTCTTCATTCAGCAAGGACTCGTTGGATCGGACCTACAGTTTAGAAAACAGTGTTAATTCATCAGAGAGGAACGATGAATCTGAACACCTCTCACCTTTATCCATCTGAGCTCTCCAAACATTCATTATAATGCAGTAGATGCTTTATCAGTTTCACACGACCGGTCTTGCTCGTCTATTTGTTGTGATGTATACAGGCAACAATAACGTACAACGCAATTTACAAAAAGTAAGACTGACTCCAGTCTGGATCGCAGGTTTGTTCAAACAGTTCGAGCTCGTCCTGCGCTTCACTTATTTCCACAGCGCGAGCCGGCACTCCAGTCAAAGCACTTGATTTTTAATACACTTGAATATTCAAATGAAAAGGTACAGACTGATGAATATTTATGCATACACAGGCTACTATATCTAGTATGTGCTGGGGCTGCAAGGAAGATTATTAGCTGTTATGTTTAGTTTTTAATGGAGACTCGCTCTGACTGAATCATTTGATTTTGCACGCTGATTTACAAATCAGACAGCACTATCACCTCTCAGAGCAGGCGACGATTTCTCTAGTTCAAAATAACGAAGAGCGACGTGTTTTTAAGAAATGTAGTGGAGTAAAAAGTATGAAATCATGCTTTGACTTATTTCGCTACACTCCAAAGTTTCTTGAAATGAAGCTACTCTGATAAAGCACATAGATGTGAAAACACTGGTTACCGTTGACATGATGATGATGAGGAACTCCTGGCCCTGGAACTCCTCCACCGACCCCACCTTCACCTCTCCCAGACCCACTCTGTGCAGCAGCACACGGATCTTCTCCACCTGAGCACACAAACATCTCAGGACTTCATCATGATACAAGCCATGAAAGACAAGTCTGCTGATTAAACGGGAGTTTACATAACTACATCCCACCACAGACAGACGGACAATTCACTTGAAACTTAGCTTGTTAACTAGTAATCCTGGCATTGTGTCCTCTCAATACTGCTGGCTCTATGACAAACAGCATTTACAAGCTGCTTAGGATAAAAGCGTCTGCATGCACGGAAATGGACGAACAGATGCGGTGTCTGAGGGGTTTTCTGCATGCACAGAGCTGCCAGCCTTAGAACAAGTTTTAGAGTACCACCAGTGTGACGGGACGTGACAGGTCTTTTTTTTGCAATTTAAAATGTTGGAAGTATTGTTTTTATGGATTGGCCATTATTGAGCGCTATAAACGCATGTAATGAAACGCCACATGTGCATCACAGAAGTAATAGAACTTATGACGCTTCAGGTTTAGAAACGCTTCTCATGCGATACACATGTATCCATTTTTAAAGTGTCATCTATTGATTCTACCGCTTATTTATATTACATATGATCTGTATATATTAATATTCATTTAAAATAAATGCTTTATAATAACTGTTAAACAAAGTGCTTGCGTGTAATGGATTAATAATAATATAAATCATATTATAATTATGTAAATCATATGCAAATTTGAATTATCATTAAAGCCAGACAAATTTGTTGTAATTTTTTTAAGGTACTTTATAGTGACCTTTAACCCTTTCCCCACCAAACACTGAATTTTCTGTGTTTTCCCTGTTACACGCTAGGGGGCGCTATTACGCATCTCCTGAATGAGTCTAAACAGTGTTGATCAAAAACACAGACCAGGAAGAGACAGAAACAAGCGATCCCATATGTAAGCATATGCATATGAAAAATAATGCGATCAACACTAACCGCGTATTAGTGTTGTTAAAAGACCCGGTATTTCGGTACCAAGTCAGTACTAAAAAAATGAAACCGTTACGGTACCAGGTTTTTTAAAGTACCGGTGGTACCGAGTACCCGGTCAACCCGGTTCTGATGCGCTATCTGAAAGCTAGCCTCTTCCAGTGTTGCCAAGTCTGTGGTTTTCCCGCAGAATTGGGCTGCTTTAACACGGTTGCCGCGGGTTGTTTTTCATATCCGCGGGTTGAAAAACGACCCCATTAACATGATATTTAGCCCCTGGAATGCTAATTTTACCAGGGGACCCCTGCCAAAACACGCGTATTTTATCCTCGGAATGTGATGTTTGTGAAAATCTGGCAACCTCTTCTTAAAAGCAGTGGCGACCTCAAGAGGAGGAAACGCATCAAACTAACAAAACACCCCGATCAAGTTCAAGCAGGTAAGTTTCAATTACATTTTTAATATTTAGAGCTTCGGTTATGAATATTCCATATTTTAATTTGAATTTCGGATTGAAATAAACATCGCCGTTAGCATATACGTAGTTAATCAACAGCATAAGCGCGGCTAACGCTAATATAATGAGCATTAGAATGAATTTTGTTCAAAATGATTTCTTTGTTAACTATTTAATGCTCCTATAACTTATTACTGTAAAAAACAGGAGGACATAATGGTATTTACTATTTTTACACACCAGAGGCTTTAAAATGAACTGTGTAACCAAAATATGCGTGTTAGAGAAAGTACAAATGTATGGTTAACAGTGTTTAGTCCGTCAGAAAAAGTTTTTTTTGCTTGTTTTTTTAGTTGGTTAGTTGCAAAATCTTATTGTAAAGTGTTTTTAATACTACAGTTTCCATCTATTTGATATACACTTAATATAGGACATAATATAACACTGTTTATGTTAACAATTAAATAAACTTGTGTATGTAACATAACACAATATTATATGTAATCTTATCTAAATTTCTTCTAAAAGCTGAGGTTTGTTATTTCCTGAAGTTATATTTTAGCTGGTGTCAATGATCTTATGCTGTATGTGGTCAGACTCAGACTCAGCCCATTTCTTTACTGATGTTGTTCAATTAATATGTTTTTGTGTTTTGCTTTGGTACAGAGAACCGTGGATTTTCACTGGTATTGGTACCGAATACTGAAATTTTGGTACCGTGACAACACTACCGCGTATAAATGAAAACTGCCTAATGTTCCCGAGCGAAACGTGGATCCAGAAAGTGTGCAAGCTTTGGGAGCGCTGATGGAAGCCATCTACTGCAGCTTTGCTTTGATAATATTACGGAATATGATCCAGATGTAGTATTTGATAAAAATGCGATTTTCTCCGCTTTTTGTAGAAAGCACATTAAGTGCTCACGTATTAATTTAAAAAAAAAACGTGAAGCTAGAACAGATTTTTGTTGTTTGAAAGCAGAGGGTCTGATCTTTATTTTGATGTACTGCATGTTCAGATATTCATACAGCAAAATATTCTGGGTGTCATGAAATTTTAGTGAAAATCAGCAAAAACGCTGGCAGGGAAAGAGTTAATTTGTAGGAAGAGAAACTCTGAGTGACTTTCTTTCTGCGTCAGACAGACATGTGTCACTTTGCTTGCATCTGATTGATCCAACTTCAGTTCGAGATCTCTAATCCAGAACACAACCAGCTCCAGAGCAGCTGTGGAGTGCAAGTTACTATGACAGTGAATGCTGCTAAAAGCCAAGCCACTTTCATGGTACCTAAAACCCAGGATTGGTGCAAACTAAACTGAAACTAGCCAGATAAACCGGCTTCATGGTACAGGCCCCAGATCTAAACCTGCTCTGAAACTCAGACACTCACCTGTTTCTTATATGGAGTGATGACGCCGATGTCGGTCACTGCGATGGGATTGTAGAGTCTCTTCGCGAGCTGGCAGCAGTACATCATGACTTGCACAGCTTCAGCGGGATTGAACCACGACGGATTATTGCCCTCTCTCATCTCAGTCCCCTTCAAACACACACACGAGGCGTCTGAGGGTGCTTTCAGACCTGTACATCGTTTGCTTAGTTCCCAAACAGAGACTTCATTTGTTACAATGTTGCAATTTCTTCTTGGTCCGGTTCGATTTCACAAGGCAACATTGCAAAGCTTATTGTGGCTTTATAGCAGTCCTGGCAAACGCCAAACAAATGTAGCAGTCATCCCGCTCTAATATATCCATCTATATACAGGTGCATCTCAAATTAGAATGTCGTGGAAAAGTTCATTTATTTCAGTCCGAGTTATTTAGATTTAGGTTAAACATTAACTTAAAAAAACAGCTAACTAACACAATAAAACAAAAATATAACAATTAAAATCATGATTTTTGAAAATTAAAAAAAACGTATGTTTTTGCACATAAACCCTTCACATATATATATATATATATATATATATATATATATATATAAATGCAGTTACAGCCAGCAATATTAAGCTATATTTATTCTTGTAATGCGCAGAGAAGAGCAATTAATTACACAATGTTTTAATATGAAGAGCTGCTCTTTGGTTTTCAAATGCAAAAACAAATATTCTCACTCACAGAATCAGACACTGACTGCTGCATTTACGTAACATATCTCCCGTTATGAATTATGATACCGCTTGGTTCGTTGGCTCGGACTGCTTTCTCACCACGAGTGAACCGCTCCAGAGTGTGTTCTCTGAACTAGAGGCAGGTGTGAAAGAGTCGATACTCACCCGCACGCCGTGAAACATGAAGGGGAAGCCCTTAGTGGGAAGCCTGTTCCAGTGGCAGAGCGCATCCACGACGGTCCTCTGAGAGCGAACACACAGCTCTCCGGCGTAAAACAGCCGCGACGGCAGCTCCAGCAGAGCCTCGTGGGAGCGGTAGTTATACACCAGCTTCATCACCTACAAAACCACACGCATCAATACACTACTCATCACAGGAGTCTGGGAAGAGCTCCCGATCAGTGGAAAATAAGAACCATTATTAGACGGGGGTTCCAGGTTCAGTGCATGCTGCAACGATGCAAAGTTCATTTGAACTAATTGAGGAAATCTGTGCCACTTTAATGTGCAAATGCACTAGGATTCTCCCTTAAATGTTTTTATTGATTTCATCTTAAATCACGAGGTGTCAATAAAGGTTCCTGACGGAGACGGTGATTATTTCAAAGCTGAAATTAGTCTGGAGTATAAACCATTTCAAAATAAAAAGTTTTATTTTTGCACAAACACTTTCTGTTTGCCGACTTTGCACTTGTTGGATATCAATATATTTATTGTTTAACATCACTATAGTTATTTGCTTCTGCCATGGTGTGATTCTCCTCGTGACGGTCTTATTACAGCTTTGCTCAAATAAATGTACATTTATAAAGAAATATATATTTTTTTTTACAATTACTAAAAAAAAACATTTTTAAATAACCAATTAAATGAGTATTTTAGTTAAGTTTTATCGCAACATTTGCATCGATTACCACAGCAAGCTAAAACAATCATTTCTACTCATTTCTCAAATTTGCAGAGACTTCGGTTTACAACAAAGCTCAACAAGTGATCGCATGGGGAGTATAAAATCAGAAATCTGCATTTTTCTTAAAGGTGATATAATTTTTTCCCCCATGTTAAAAAAACGTTGTTAAATAAATTTATCTATTAAAATAATTTAAGGTTAAATATTTTGTGCGTCAATAGGTTTGCTTTTCTGAAGAAGAAAAGAGTACATTTATTTGGCAGGGATGCATTAAACTGATCAAAAGTGATGAATCTTATGTAACAATGTCAACGGCTTTACCAATTAAAATATATATATATTGCGGTCAAACAATTAATCGCGATTAGTCGCATCCAAAATAAAAGTTTTTGTGTACATAATATATGTGAGTGTACTGTGTATATTTATTATGTAGATACACACAGTACACACACATATGTGACCCTGGAGCACAAAACCAGTCATAAGGGTCCATTTTTCGAAATTGAGATTTATGCATCACCTGAAAGCTGAATAAATAAGCTTCCATTGATGTATGGAAATCTGGAATCTGAAATTTAATATTGAGAAAATCATCTTTAAAGTTGTTCAAATGAAGTTCTTAGCAATGCATATCACTAATCAAACATTAAGTTTTGATATATTTACGGTAGGAGATTTACAAAATATATTAATGGAACATGATCTTTACTTAATATCCTAATGATTTTTGGCATAAAAGAGAAATGTATAATTTTGACCCATACAATGTATTGTTGGCTATTGCTACAAATATACCCCAGCGACTTAACACTGCTTTTGTGCTGCAGAGTCACATATAATATGCAAACAAATTTATATACATTATTTTGGATGCAATTAATCGTGATTAAAAAAAAACTAAAAAATTCTTATCAGTTTCACAAAAACAGATCAATTCCTGTAGACTGAATGATTTTCTGTGGAAACTGACAGCATGTCAAGCATCCTGTAACTAAAGTGTAAACTGCATTTATCTCAGAATATTTCATATATCCCACAATCCCTTGTAACGCAGCCTCCTGACCAGCAGGGGGTTGTATCCTCTCTCGCTGCAGCTGTAGAGCGGCGTTCCCATCAGTCTCTCCAGCAGAGACACGCCGAGTCCAAACACAGCGGCCAGCTTCGACTTCACCACCGGCCCCAGCTGCTTCGGATCTCCAGCCAGCACGATCTGCAGAAACCAGAGGCGGATGAAGCCGTCTGCAGTGACCAGTGCTTCCACACGGACTCTGCTCGTCTCACCTGTCCACTCGTCTCAGACAGTAAACTCAGAGGGATGAGCGACTCGGGTTCAGTGGCCTGACCCGCCTCATCCACAAACACATGTGTAAAGTGACCAACACTGAAAACACACACAACACACCCACGTCTTCACAAGAGCTGACTGCACATCATTAACATCACATGCCAGTCAATATTATATTGTTTTTTCCCCAAGCATGTTTACCAATTTCAAACCACATAAATCTTAACTATTATTTTACATATAATCGATTATAAGTTATACAGTGGTGACCAAAATGATTAGAACACTAGTATTTTCAGCAGCTAAAGTCAGTTATTTCTATCTTTTGCTGTAGTATGCATCTCATGGGCATTTCATAATTTTCACCATTTCAGTTCAATCTCTTGTTTGGCCCATTTGCCTGTAAAAATAACCCTGCTTAATAATTATGCACACCTGAATGTTTTTCGCTTCCAGCCCTTGTTAACAATCATATGCATTACATGTAAAATGAATAGTAGTTATTAAGATTGATGTGGTTTGGAATTGGTCAAATGTGCTTGGGAAAAAAATCTGATCAGATTATACTGATGTATAGATTTCATGCAGTTGTGTACTCAACGTTATCCCAAAAGATCCCAAGGATTTGTAAATCCAGAGAAAATCCCGTTTTAAATAATGGCTCGTCTCTGTCGCCTATCAGTGACGTAATATCCGCACTATCCTCAGTTAAATGCTGCTGCACAGTTCAACTAAATCCATTACGGCTGTTGTGAATAAAATGAGCAGATCTAAATTTAATGCTGTGGTCAGCACTTTTTATTTCATTTTCAATGTTGCGCCATGACTCTGTTACGTGTTTTTACAGCACTGCGCATTATAACCAATCACACACACACACACGAGTCTGTTGAGCTTATGAACGCTAATGACCAATCAGATGCCTTCAGAGGAGTTTTTGTTCAGTGCACACGCTCGAGAATTCTCTCATCATGAACAACAAAGTGCAGATGTACGTGTGATGTAAGATTCATTCATCAAACCGTGCATGGACAGCTTTACGGATTATAAAGGGAGTTTTTTGAGAGTGCTTAAACTCGCGCTAGACTGTCATTGTCAAAGAACATTATGACTGACTTCAGTGTTCTTTGCTCACTTTCTCTGTATAATTTACCGTGTTGGGAAAAGTTACTTTTAAAAGTAACATTACAATATCGCTTGCTTGTTTTTAATATAAAAAGTTCTATTTTTTGGCACCAAAAGCCTCAGGCTGAAGGAAAAGTAAATTCTCGTCTAGAACGCAGAAGAGGAACGTTCAGACATCTTCAGCGATTAAAAAAAAAAAAGAACAGATGTTAGTTTATTTAAAGTCATTTTTGCTTAGTATTATGACTGAATTGGACATCGAAGCTCAGCAGAAAAGACATTTAATTATTGCATGTTTGTGTCACATTCAGAGTTGCATTTCACCGTTTTATTCATTTTGAGGAACACTGAATCAGTTTTTTGTGAGCGAGTCATTTATTCTAGAACTAAAGTAACATTTTGCTCCTCTCAACATGAGCACAGGAGAGCTTTCAATCAATACATGATGAAACAAAGTAACTGGTTTACTTATTAGAAAAAGTAACTCAGATATTTTCTTCCTAATTAAAAAGTAATGGGTTACTTTGCTAGAAAAAAGTAATCTGATTATGTAACTCGCTTTATCAGGCATGACCACACCTCTTCTGGCCTGCAGGTGGCATTGACGCGAGCCAGGCTGGCGGTGTGCAGGAATCCGCTCTGGTGCAGACGTGTGCAGACGAGGTCCGCGGCGCTGTTTGAGGGCGTGCACACCAGCACACGACTGCAGGGGATGCGGTGATGCACCTGCACACACACAGACACACAGATAGAGTTCACACACATTCACCATCTGACCTCAGCTCACGCACTACAGCAAACTCAGCAAGAGTTCTGAGCAACATGCACCACTTGTGTGTGTGTGAGTGTGAGAGAGAGAGCGGTGTGTGTGTGTGTGAGTGAGTGAGAGAGAGCGGTGTGTGTGTGTGTGTGTGAGTGAGTGAGAGAGAGAGAGAGAGAGAGAGAGAGAGAGAGTGTGTGAACAGGTGTGTGTGTGTGAGCATGTGTGTGT